ACGCTAAAAGCAGGTATTTTTTAGATTAATTTTTATTAGTTTTTACATATTTGCGCTGGGGCATGGGGTGGCGAACGAATTCTAGCGTAGGGGCGCTTAAGATAGTCGTAACGGCCCCGGTAAGGGGCAAAGTCTGTAGCACAAAAATGGCGGTCTAGTCTTTACCCGGGTCATTGGCTATCTGTCTATTAATCTGTGCTACATACACACACATGCGAATACATAATTCTCATTCTCTCTCTCTCTCCCTCTCCCTCCCTCCCTATTCTCTCTCTCTCTCTCTGCCCCTCATTCTCTCTCTCTCTCTTATTTGCTTACTTGAAGATATTATTACTCTTACTAAAATTATTATTTACTTTTTATTGTTACACATTTTCACTTTAATTATTTTTTTATATTGTGCCGTTTTTTTTTTTACGAAAGAGGGGAAAATGCATTTTATGCATACTCACCGGGCAATCCGGTGAGTTATGTGGGACTCGAGTACCAAGTCGAATTACCAACTCGATATTCCCTATCCACTAAAAACCCCTCTCTTTCGCTAATTTTCTCTAACACTGTTTATTTGACATCTCGAAATTTGTTTTCACACAACACCAAAGAATAGTTATTAAAGAATAGTTATTACCTTGTTCGATGTATTGCTGTAATTTCTTGAGAAATGAATTTTCCAATAGATCGTACTTTCACTTAAATTGAACATAGATATCACGTTCTAAAGGACAGAGATCCACACTAAATAATTAATCGAAAATTCTTTTTTCTTTTATAAACCGTATTCTTTTATAAACTTCAACATAATCACATTCATTCACTCACTCGATAAGACGAGAAATTTACCAATGACTCTATCACTAATCATTATCAATCAATGTCGAATAATCACTGTTGGCAATTAAAAATTACTCGATTAAAGAAAGATACACGTTATTACATGACGCGACAACGCGACGATATTTACCTGGCGACAGCAAACAGTTTTGAACGTGAACATGTACTTGATTGAAGACGCGACAATTTAGCATATAATATTATTATCATATAATATTTATACATCGTACGATATTTGTTTTAAAATTAATTAGAATAAATAAATGTTAATACTTTCACTATTAATGTTAAATATTATTTATTATTAATACTAAATATTATTATTAAATATTCTTAAATATTATTATTAACATTAAATATTTATTACTCTTTTAGTTTAAAAGATAAAAGGGGGTGGCCACTTCTAGATGGGACACCCTGTACATGATTTACTAAATCAATTAACATTATAAAAGGAAAACAGAAAAATGTCGTTAGGCTTTTTATTAAGACTTTAGTTTTTAAGATATCTTAATCCAAAATCGAATGCGGTGACAAAATAGGATGTGATTAAAGTCTTAATTATAAATTTAATGACACTTTTCTGATATAATGTCAATATAAACATTGGATTGCGATATTTAGAATAAACAAATAACGATATAAACACAGGCTTATTTTAAGGACCAACCAAATAAGAAAACAATTATAGGCAAGAAAAAATTGTATATAACATTAAGCAAATACAAAGACGTTAGTAATCGTTACTGATGTTAAAAAAATTATAATTAAAATTGAAAATTACAAAATAAAAAATAAAATAAAATAAAGACGCAAACGTTTCGATCCGCTTCGGATCATTTTCAATGCTTATAAATAAACGCTATAAATGTATACAAAAAAAAATTTGAAAATATCGAACGACAGCAAGGTATAAGCGCAAACACAAGAGACTCTAAATCATAAAAACAGATAAAAAACATTCTTTTAGAAGATGTTAACGCAAAAAATTAGGGATTGTAATGGAAAGCATAAGGAGCAACGAACCACCCGCGCATGTTAAACGGTAAAGGCGGACGCAGAAATACTCCAACGGAAACGCCACCACACAGTTGCGTAAATTGCTCGTCATGCCCGATCTTCCAAATTCCTCAGATATAGTACAGATCTAAAAAACCATGAGAAAAGAGGCAGAGTGACAAGCACTGTCACATGCAAGCTATGCGCAGGAGTAAAAGCAAGAAATTATAATTACGTACAGGTGGAGAAACCGTGACAGAGCCGAAGAAAGCAAGCCAGAAAGAGAGAAAGAAGCAGGAGCAAAATTCAAGAAGCAAGAGAGAAAGGCTGGTGTGGAGCGTCCTCAACAAAAAGTCACAAAAGACTGCGTGGCTGTGAGAAAAGAAATTTTTCAGCCAAACGGAAAAGGAGAGGGGAAAGAAAAAAGGAGGAGGAGTGGGGGGAAAAAGAGAATAGGAACGGAATAAGAATGAGATCATGTAGGGTAGAATCACTCTGAAGAAAAAATTTTTTATGTATCACACCGAGGAAAATTTTTTTATGATGGGCTTTGTCTAAATTATCAGTGTCGTTCTGAATATTCAAACTGTTGTTGTGACGAGTAATGTGGATTATTTCAGAGATGATCCGTCTTAGAAAGGAGGGATCTTCATCTAAGATCCTTACGTCATACCAATTAAATTCGTGGCCAGCAAGTCTATGATCAGAAACCACAGAAACAGCTTCAGATGGCCTGTTAATATTTGCCTTGTGTTCCTTGATTCTAGTGATAAGCTGTCTTTTAGTCTGCCCAACATACGCTGCAGTGCAATCGTTACATCTAATTTCGTAAACAACATTCGAGTGATTCCACCTACACAAAGGATCCTTGTGTACTTTGATGAATCTATTGAGTCTATTGCTGACAGTAAACGCCAAAAATCTGTTATTCTCTCGGGCTATTTTCTTGAAAGAGTTGGATACTTTATTAATGAAAGGAATAACGAGGAAAGAACGGGAAGGAGAGGAAAGGGGGGAAGGGGAAGCCGATAATGTGTTATTACTATAAATGAGAGATCTAATTCTATTCTTGATGGTATTGAAAATTAATTTAATAGGATAACCGTTTTTTAATAAAATATCCATGATCACACTCAAGTTTTTTTCATGAAAGCGAGGATGAGATAATTTAAACACCCTATCTGTAAGGCCAATAATAACCCCCTTTTTATGAATCAGCGGATGTTGGGAGAAAAAATTAAGAAATCTGCCTGAGAACGTAGGCTTATGGTACCAATCAAATTCCAACTGATTCTGATTAACTATAATGGAAACATCCAAAAAATTAAGGCGTTTATTATTTGCAATTTCAATAGTAAATTGTAGTCGATTGTGTAAGGAGTTAAAGGTGCTTAAGAGATAATTTAGAAAAATTTAGTGGAGCTAATAACACAATATCATCAACGTACCGGAAATAAAAAGGAAGGTGGAAGGAAAGGCGTGCTATCGCTTTTTCTTCGAGATCTTGTAAGGCGATGTCGGCGCAAATGGGAGAGAGCGGAGATCCCATAGGCGTGCCAAAGATCTGTTTATAAACGACGCCGTTGAAGAGAAAAAACGTCGAGTCCAGAACAAGTTTTAACCCCTTAATAAATTTAGACAGAGCCTATCTGCCCATCATAAAAAAATTTTCCTCGGTGTGATACATAAAAAATTTTTTCTTCAGAGTGATTCTACCCTACATGATCTCATTCTTATTCCGTTCCTGTTCTCTTTTTCCCCCCACTCCTCCTCCTTTTTTCTTTCCCCTTTCCTTTTCCGTTTGGCTGAAAAATTTCTTTTCTCACAGCCACGCAGTCTTTTGTGACTTTTTGTTGAGGACGCTCCACATCAGCCTTTCTCTCTTGCTTCTTGAATTTTGCTCCTGCTTCTTTCTCTCTTTCTGGCTTGCTTTCTTCGGCTCTGTCACGGTTTCTCCACCTGTACGTTATAATTTCTTGCTTTTACTCCTGCGCATAGCTTGCATGTGACAGTGCTTGTCACTCTGCCTCTTTTCTCATGGTTTTTTAGATCTGTACTATATCTGAGGAATTTGGAAGATCGGGCATGACGAGCAATTTACGCAACTGTGTGGTGGCGTTTCCGTTGGAGTATTTCTGCGTCCGCCTTTACCGTTTAACATGCGCGGGTGGTTCGTTGCTCCTTATGCTTTCCATTACAATCCCTAATTTTTTGCGTTAACATCTTCTAAAAGAATGTTTTTTATCTGTTTTTATGATTTAGAGTCTCTTGTGTTTGCGCTTATACCTTGCTGTCGTTCGATATTTTCAAATTTTTTTTTGTATACATTTATAGCGTTTATTTATAAGCATTGAAAATGATCCGAAGCGGATCGAAACGTTTGCGTCTTTATTTTATTTTATTTTTTATTTTGTAATTTTCAATTTTAATTATAATTTTTTTAACATCAGTAATGATTACTAACGTCTTTGTATTTGCTTAATGTTATATACAATTTTTTCTTGCCTATAATTGTTTTCTTATTTGGTTGGTCCTTAAAATAAGCCTGTGTTTATATCGTTATTTGATTATTATCTTTCGACCATCTTTGCTTGTTAGTCTTTTTTATTATTTAGAATAAAATTAGTATAATTAACTCTTACATTTTTTAAAACTTATTCCACGAAAAGATAATCTTTTGTTGATAATCTTTTTGCCTTAAACTTCATTTCCAATTTCGCGATCGCATGCAAAACCATTTTGTTTCTCAAAGCCTATTTGCATTGCTTATGTATGACATATGTTAGGATATATATATGTTAGCTAAACATGTACATTCATATATTTATTGCATAACACAATATTTTGAAATTTGAGCAAGATTGTTAATACAATCTATGTACATACACACACACACACATATGTATATATACATACATTATACATATATGTGTACATGTATGTATGTTTAGTTATCTCATTTTAATAATGTATCTTAAATGAAAAGTTTATGTTAATAATGCTTTTTGTATTAGCTTAAAGTTCGATAAATAATCAACAAGATAAGATAAAAATATTACTCCTGTGAATAAAAAGTTTAAGTGATAAACTTACAAGTTCGCATTAGAATTGATAAGTGTACGTTTATATAAAAATAAGTTTTCTAGAAGAGATATTAGTTGTACTGAAATTAAAAAAGGAAGTACACATTAAAACTGTGTTCAGAAAGCATTGGTATTGTGACATAAACATGCGATTTTTTTGGTTTTATTCTATTATGTCACTATCTACACCAGTAATTATATTGATATTTTTGATAAATATTAATATTCAGTTTTGTGAAGGTAATCGTTTAGGATTTAAACTTTAAAATTACATTTTTTTAAATTACATTTGCAAAAAGTAAATTCTTCTCGCTACTTTTTCCAATAAAGAATAAGTACAAAATTATACTTCACATTAATATAATAGGGTTTGGAAAACGAGGAGTTGATCACTGAGGTAATTTCTGTACAAGAGCTAAGTAATTCAGTGGCAATCCAAAAGAAATTTTGGGTAATCTAAGATAATTTTTGGTAATTTTAAATATTCTTTAGCATTCTTAGGTAATCTTGGGTAATCTAATAGGAAATCTAAGTAATCTGAGGGTAATATCAAATAATCTGTAGGTAATTCTAAATATTCTTAAGATAGTCTCAAATAATCTGAGGTAATCTAAGGTAATCTTTTTGAAGTTAGTAGATGTCATTGACGAACTTGTATCTTTTTACAATAATATACATTTGCAATCATTTTTTGGAATCGATGCTTCGTAAAAACGTGCTTTTTTGCAGTCTACGAATTGTGATTAGGTTTTCGCGGTATCGTCTTGTAATGCTTTATCTCTTAGGCCACGAATACACGAGAGTTTAAATATTGCGAAATGCATTCTTATACACAACTTTTGATAAGTCATCGTCATTTAATGGTAAAACAAAACCTATATTACAATTTTCATGTATTGAATATTCTACCGGTAATTCCAGTCGCATTTTCACTAAACCAAACTACTTAAGCAAATTTCTTGTGTTAAGAAGTCGCTTAGTTCCTTAAAACGAAATTCACCTTCCCAAAATAAACAATAGTGTTTGAATTTATTACCCTGCTGATAGTGGATACAGATGGAATAATGCCATTCAAATTGGCATGTAAAGTCGTTTCGTAAGTCAGGCGTCTACTTATTCAAAACAAAATTCAAAAAAGCTAGAAATAAATAAAAATACAAATATATAAAAATTGCGAAATGCATCCTTACCAATGAAAAGATATGTGCAAAATCTCTTAAAATCTCTTCTTCGTTTAAGGTAATATTAGGTAATCTTAAGTAATCTGAGGTAATCCAAGGTAATTTAAAGGTAATCTGTATGCGTAAGGATAATTTTTGTACACTAGTGTACAACCACTAGTGACCAACCCCTCGTGTTTGAAATTCATAAAGTTATTCATGTTAATGTTAATGTTCATAAAGTTATTCATAAAGTTATTCATGTTAATGTTACGTCCAGACCCTGGAATGGATGAACCGTATAAAAGAACGTAACTTACTTACCCCATGACACACTTTATTTGGGCGTGTGTATAGATCAGGTCGAACGAATGTGAAGGGTCTGACACAGGTTAGCGACCGAAGGTCTCTTTAACGCTGCGGTTTTAAGCCTATTCGTTCGATGGTTCTTTTTTGGTAAAGGAATTTAATTCTTGTTACGCGGGATGGGACTTAGTGCGATCTCAGGATTTAGGGAAGAGAACGGATTCAATAATTAAATTATACATTAAATTAAAAAAACATATTATAAACAAAATAAAGAAAGAAAAATACATCTTAGGAGTTGTAGCTGCGTAGGTATCTGTGTGTGTATGTATATATTTTCGCGGGTGTTACAATTGTTCGGAAGTCATCAGTCAAAATATACAGGGAAGAATTTACGTTAAAAATTAAATTCTGACTGGTCAATACAATATACATACAATTAATATAATATAAGAAATAAAATAAAATAAAAAGTGAATGTGTAATAAAAATACGAATAACGATTATTCATTGAAGGAAGTATAGAATTCGTCGCTTGCGCATATGTGTTATAGTTAGAATTAAAATTTTTCTAAATTCGCTGAAACACAGGTTTAAATTAAAATACAATAATAAAATTATGATAAGAGATTCGCCAAGTCTAGTTCAAAAATTATTTATCTATTTCAACGGTTTCTCCCAAAAGTAGTGATAATACAAAGGAAAATAATATAGAGGACAAAAAAATAATAATAATGCAAAGATGGGAAATTAAAAGAAAATGAAAGGGAATAAAAGTAAAGAAAAAATGGAAATGAAAAGTTAAATATATATAAAGAAGGGTTGAAATGAGATATAAAGATAGAAAACAATACAAATTCTCAGTAAATAAATCAGAAAAAACAATTAAAAGGAAATAAGAATTAAGGAGTAATCGCGAATCACCTAGCGGAGATTCCAGGCGAACGGGCAATCGTTCGCGAACCACCTTGCGGAGATTCTAGGCGAATTGGGAAATTACTCGCGAACCGTCTTTCGGAGATTCTAGGCGAATTAGAAAGAACAAGGAATGAGATTGGAAGACAGGTGGGATAAGGATTGATTGACTGATAGTAATTAGTAAAAATTTAATGGTTATTAAACCGCTTAAAATTATTTGTCAGACATAGATTTTAAATTGTAAGATAGTAAGATATGGAAAAGAGAGAAAATAAAAATTTGTTCACAACTCGTTGGCATCACAAAAATGAGTGTGTTAATAAAATTGCAATGGGTGAGATCGGAGGTTTATAACATGAAGAGCTGCGTAATGGAAAAGTCCATCAGAAAATTCACACAATTAAATGTTAAGAAAATCATTTTCACTGTGATATAAAACAGATTAATAATTCAATTGCATAATGCAAAAAAAAGGATCTCCGAGGCTATATAATTTCAAAATTGAATGACTAAATCTTGACTGGAACTATGAACTGAACCGTCAACTGCTGCTCGTCGGAAGAATTAGCAGAAAAGTTTCCGATTTCATAGCTCTACGTGTGGAGCACTATAAAAATTTTATTCCGGCTCTGATTCCGATTTTTGTTCAGAATTTTAAACTTACAACGACTGGCCATTCTTAGCTCTAACTTTTCTTATTTATTTATTGCTTCGAGTCCCAGATATCTGTAGCAAGGATTAGATATACATATGTTTATTGTTGGTGCGATTCTTAAGAAGGATCTCTTTGTTTTTAAAGTTTTAACGGACGTTCCAACTGTAAACATATGCGACAGTTTGATTTTATTACAGTTTTTTATTTGAGTGGAATTTCTTATTTATAGCGACAGGCTATTCGCGTAGTCTAGGCTTATTTATTATTTTTTTTATTTCCTTGGTTCAGATGTTACCAAGAGTTACCCGCGCACGTGGTTATCGTATAGTTTGTGTATGGTTTCGAAAAAAGGAAAGAATCGCGACGTCCATCGGACGTAACATTAAATTAATATATTTCTTTGGACTAGGATTTTATCACTTTTTCATATAAATCATATTAATCTCTTTTTCATTATTCTAAGTATAAAAGGAAAAATATAAAATAAATTATTCACTTTATATAATAAATTTATTTTAACAATTTTTTATTGAATAATCGATAAAATTAATTAATCAATTAATAATATATTGATAAAATAATCGATAAAATCAATTAATAATTCTATTTTTACAAAAATATAATTAAAAAATTTCTTTTCTGACAAAATCATGGTTCATTACATACAAATTAATTCTTGTCAAATTATATGATATTAGAGATGTTATATTAAAATAATCTTTTTAAAAATATGAAAAATATATTTTCAATAAATTAACTTAATTTGAACTCGTAATATTATGCAACATTTAAAAAATCTATTGTTATATTAAATAGCATCCTCTTTCTGGAGTTCGTCACAGAAATCTATGCAAATATCAACTCCAGAAGAATGTGCACGTGAATGCAAAGACGGAGAACAACCAAAAACTTGTTATTATCACTTTGTTCTTGAATATTATACTTCGAATAATCGGTATGTATGTGTCTATATGTGTGTATATTTATGTATATATTTTAATTTTGTATACAAATAAATAATTCAGAGAAAAAAATCTGATATTATATTTAATAAATCTTCTAAACAAGAATTATACAAATTAAATAAAATTTAATTTTTGATTATGTTTTTAATTCGCTTACAAAAATACGTTTTATTTATTATATTTTCATTATATTTACCATATAATATATCTTAGTAATTTAAATATATTAGATTGAGTAATTTTTGTAATATGTTAATTATATTTAATGAAGTTAAAAATAAATTATTTCTTCTAAATCTGTCTTTTTATTATTGGAATAGTAAAAAGCAATTATAATGAGAAAAGTATGTAAATCTTTATGTCATATAGATCTTTATGTTAAATTCATATATTAATGTAAAAACATCAAATACATAACTAAAAACATATATCTTATTTGACTAAATTCTTTACTAAAATGCAAACAATATTTCAACTAGTTTTTACCATTTTTGATATAAAAATGACATATTACTAAAGAAAAACGTAGTTTATACGAATCGAAAAATACTTTTAAGACGATCAGGATTATATCAACATTTATTCAATCGAATAATCAATTAATAGCAACATCTTCTTTTTAATTTACGTGGCATTTATACATAATGTATTATGTATAAAGATATAAGTTCATATTATTGCTTGCCTTTTTTGTCTGCAAAATGTAATATTTATTATTGCGTGCATACTTTTAATTTTGCGTATAATTGTAATAATAATTATCAAACCTGATGTGCTGAAATATGTATTTTTATTTATACAGGGTGTCCGTCGATTTTCGACCAAAATGAAATAAATAAGTAGATTGGCTCGAATTAAGAAGGAATGACCTGTATTGTTTTGGGATTGTCGCAATAATTAACGAAATATTAAATAAAAAAGATCGGCCAATCTGGTGTGAGTAAAAGCGCGCGGCGACGAGAGTCGTCCCACCGTAATCCGATACTACGAGCGCGGCGAAGCGGTGGGCGGATCGCTCTCCGAGACATGATGGTGGTTTGCGATATATCGCAATACCGCGCCGAAAAATGACCCGTCCCCCCTTTTCGAGGCGAGAAAATGATGCGCTATCATTTCCACACCACCTTGCGGTAGATAGCATGGTGCGCTTTTTTTATAGTGGTTTCCCCCATAGGCCTATTCCACTCTCAATTTAAAAATTATTCAAAATGCCATTTACTATACGCTGAATATATCGTAAATGTAAAAAATTAATGGACAGTACCTTTACAAAAATTGATTCGTGGTTGAAAATCCCTCGATAAAATGTATTGCACACGTTGATAATGTGATACGATGATAAAATTCTTCAAGAATTCTTTCTTCATCTCGTACACGAAGACGCACTGCTGGACCGGTTATCCCGATATTATGCACGACACTCAGTTTTACATAATTATTGCACAACACGTAAAATTGTACGGCCACTTGGTTTTCGTGCACGCCCGAGAAATGATTCCATGTAAATTGCGGCCGCGCGATGAGTATTTTCTCCCGCTAGTCCGTATGCCACAATCATATCCGTATATTCCTGCAGAGTACACTTCATTTTCTCTGTTAATTTACTACGCAAACACAAGATTTTCATTAAAACGTCTTAGCTTTCGCACGCTGTTACCAGACTGCGTACGCCAGCAGCACGCAACTACAGCTGACAGCTGAGCGGACATGTGAGTGTAAGCGTACGTGTGAGTTCGACGCCTGCGCACTATGATTACACTCACATGTCCGCTCAGCTGTAGTTGCGTGCTGCTGACGTACGCAGTCTGGCAACAACGTGCGAGAGCTAAGACGCTTAGTAAAAATCTTATGTTCGCGCAGTTAATTACCAGTAAAAATGAAGTATACTCCGCAGGAATATACGGACATGATTGTGGCATACAGGCTAGCGAGAGAAAATACTCATCGCGCGGCCGCAATTTACATGGAATCATTTCTCGGGCGTGCACGAAAACCAAGTGGCCGTACAATTTTACGTGTTGTGCAATAATTATGTAAAACTGAGTGTCGTGCATAATATCGGGATAACCGGTCCAGCAGTGCGTCTTCGTGTACGAGATGAAGAAAGAATTCTTAAAGAATTTTATCATCGTATCACATTATCAACGTGTGCAATACATTTTATCGAGGGATTTTCAACCACGAATCAATTTTTGTAAAGGTACTGTCTATTAATTTTTTACATTTACGATATATTCAGCGTATAGTAAATGGCATTTTGAATAATTTTTAAATTGAGAGTGGAATAGGCCTATGGGGGAAACCACTATAAAAAAAGCGCACCATGCTATCTACCGCAAGGTGGTGTGGAAATGATAGCGCATCATTTTCTTGCCTCGAAAAGGGGGGACGGGTCATTTTTCGGCGCGGTATTGCGATATATCGCAAACCACCATCATGTCTCGGAGAGTGACCCGCCCACCGCTTCGCCGCGCTCGTAATATCGGATTACGGTGGGACGACTCTCGTCGCCGCGTGCTTTTACTCACGCAGATTGGCCGATCTTTTTTATTTAATATTTCGTTAATTATTGCGACAATCCCAAAACAATACAGGTCATTGCTTCTTAATTCGAGCCAATCTACTTATTTATTTCATTTTGGTCGAAAATCGACGGACACCCTGTATATTTAATGTAATAATATATATACAAATTTAGCACACAGAGATCAAACTCTTTTTAACCAATTATATAACTATTTTTTATTAATTATATTTTATATTGTTTTCTATATTTAAAAAACATAATACAATATTTATTTTATCGATACAAAAAATTATATAAATAGGAAACAGATATTGCTATTTTCTATCTGTTAGTTAATATCTGAGTAAAACTAATGAAAAAAAGAATAACTTTCGAAGCCTTGCTTATAAATGTAGAAAACGATAAATAAAATATATTTATTGTTATACGAGGTGTTTAATAATGGACCAAGGATGAATAAGTAAGTGCAGTAAATTGAACAAAAAATCCTTTATCATTATTTTTGTAATAATTATAAATATAAAATAAAAGTGAAATATTAAATAAAAGTGATCAACAAATAAGCGCACATTTCTTGCTATAACTGCGGGATGTGCTTTAAGCGTGTCAACAGCGTATATTGCACAAGTTACGAAAAGATAAGAATTGTACAAATGCACGAACAAACTTTTCGTTGCCATGTGACACTCGTCACAAGAAAATACATTCCATAATTTAGGCATGCCAACGTGTGCCAATTTTTAAATTAATATTTCAATAATTATTGTAAAACTAGTAAAATGATGAAGGACTTTTCTGTTCTTAAGTATTGCGCTCCTCACGAACGTTGGTTCAATCTTTATCAAACATACCGTATATGCTATAATTATACAGACTGTTCAATTGAACTTACTTACATACCGTAATATCTCGAAAACAATGCAAAAAAATATTTCAAATAAAATTTGTAGAACTTGGAGGAGGAAAAAGATAAGAATATTAGTTTAGCCTTGTAGAAGGCTAAATATATGAATTTGCAATGAAGAGATACATATTTTTTCTTAAGATCATGTGTTTTGTTTTCTTTAATACAAATTGATTTCTCTCATTATTCTATGTATAAAAATATTAAGGTAAGATAATCGAAAAATAAAGATTTTTTAATTTATGTAAAATTATATGTCAACTTAAAATATAAAATATCTCATAAAATATCTCGTATTTAATTTTTTATTATCTTATCTTTATTACTTTTTATACGAAATATTGTGAAGAATCGATTATATAGATAAATTAAGGTAATTATTTATTTATAAAACTTAAGTTATCTTTAGTAACTATATCTAATTGTAAGATTAAACTAATATCCTTATCTTTTTCCGTCTCCAAATCATACAACTTTTATTTTTTTGTTTATGAAATATTATGCCTAAATTAAAATGAAACATCCTGCATATATTTCTTAGCTTTAAAATAATATTTAAAAATTATATAATTAACAGTAAGTAAGATTATAAAAATATTTATTTTTAAATTTATTTCAGTGCATGTGACTTTTGTGAACAACCACTAAATAATTCAGGAATTACTTCATTATGCGAATGTGTTAAAGGTGATGGAATTGAAAAAACAATATTTTCCATTAATCGTATGATTCCAAGTCCAAGTATCCAGGTAATGCAACAAATTTAAACGTAGTATTTACACAATATATAATATATACATTGTATGTATAACATAAAATTTTTATAAAAACTTTAATAATATTACTCATCATATTTTAGATATGTTTTTTATTTAAATATCTCTTATATATAATAATATTTTTCAAAAATACCTTTATTATAATTCAATATTTTTAATGTTAAAGTCGAATAAGAATGATGTAGTACTAACTTCAACATCTTATTAATTGGATATTTATTTTTTGTTGATCTAATATTCCTTAAATACTTTTTTCAAAATATTTTCTTTCTTTTAAACATGATGTACTTAATTTAACCAATCACTTGTGGCGATAATATTGACCTGTGACGTACAATTATAATACATCTAGTTAAAGAGTTATATAAATAAATGTTAAAAAGATTAACAAGTAAAGAATTAAAGTATTTTGTTAAAAGATTTAAAGTATTTTGTTCTAACTTTTAAATATCATGATAAATATCATGATAAATATTAAAAATATATCTGATATTTTTATTTTGATTCCCAAAATTATTTATATAAAATTCGTTGTTAAGTGAATTTATAAGAAGTAAATTGCATATTAATATTTAATTATAACACTTAATAATAATATTTAATAACAAATTATTAGTAATTGCATATTAATAATTTACCAATAATATTTAACTATTTTTTATATAAAAAGACAAATTTTCATATATTCTAAAGTTGTTTATTATTACAACACTAATCAATAATTTAAAATAAGATTAAGAGGTTCTACACAATAAGAAATACTCATTGAAACAAATAATTGATAATAATGCACAAATATTATTATATACAATCATATAGCAATAATTTATTTTTTATTTAACAATAAATAAATTAATTGAATTCCTATAAAGAATTAAAATAAAAATTTTAATATAGTTAAATCCAGATAATTTTATCTTGGAGATCTTTTTGGTATTCTTTTAATATTATATTGTTTAATATTATATTATACATGTACATTATTGTATTTTTATTAATATTCTATAAAAAAGTAGCACATCAACTTGTATTATTTCTTGAACATTTTCGAGATCGAGATCGTTACGTATTCTATCACAAAAGTTATTTCTTTCATATCATTTTATGTATTCCAAACATGAGATTCTCATTAAACATTTTTTGTATATTTATACGTTGTATTCATAATTAAAATTTTATTATTAATATTTTATTATTAGATTATTAAGAATTAGATTATTAGGAAAATATTTATGTTTTCAAGTCTCATATTAAATTATATACTTGGGAAATGTTTACTTTACGTCACACAGCTCGAAAAATTTTTATTTTCAGACATGTTGTAGAGGACACATTCCTAAGTAATACACCGTTTGAATTTTGTGGCATTCTCTCTTCGTTCCTGAAATATGCAATTTTAAGGTTTCATACTTATTTGTATAATCTTTTCGTTACTTTTTAAATATGTTTATATTTTTCTGTTTACATTTCTTGAGGTCATCTTTCTGAATATCTTTCAGAAGGTTTTAGCCGCTTATTGTTATTTATTAAATAGTTATTAAAAAAAAACAAAAAAGTTTCAAGAATAGAAAATAATTTTACGACATCATGTATGTTAAGAAATATAGGCGCACACACACACACGCGCGCGCGGGGCCGTGCAAGGGGGACCTTCGGGCCCCCCTCCCGCAATCATTTCGCCGGTAGGGGACGCATTGCGAAAAGTTCAATCATAATGGATATATGCTGTAAATTGTAAAGCGAGGTCCACCTTGACTACCGGCGGGATGGTTGCTGGGGAAGAGGGGACCGACAACCCCCTTGCACCCCCCCGCGCGTGTGTGTGTGTGTGTACACATACATTTGTAATATTTTTTTTGTATTAAATTATTAATTGTATTAAATTATATTAAATTCCAACATGGAAGTCACAACGAGCAAACATAAACAAAAAAATATAAACACAAGGAAAATATAATATGAAACCGTGTTGAGCAAATGTAAACAAAAAATATAAACACATAAATACGATATAACGAAAAGATGACATGAAAGTATGAAACTTCAAAATTGCATATCTCAAGAACGAAGAGGGAGCGCCACAAAATTCAAACGGTGTATTACTTAGGAATGTATCCTCTACAACATATGTAAAAATAAAAATTTTTCGAACTATGTGATGTAAAGTAAACATTTACCATATACTTTTTCGATAATCACTATGATATATTAAGAAATTAGAGAAATATTAAAATATGTGAATGTATATACAGGGTGTCAGGAAATTTTTCGCAGTCCCGAAGTGTGAAGGTAGATTAGCTCAAATTAAGAAGGAAGGTCTTCTACTGTTTTGCGATATTTGCAATAATTAACGAAAAATTAATTAAAGAAGATCGACCAATGCATGTGGCTAGAAATGCGTAGCGGTGAAGGCGAAGAATCTTCGCCGCACGCCTACACACTCATTGCTCTTCCTCTACCCAATCACCGCTTCGTCGCGCCGCCATTATGTGACAGTTAGACCGCCTTTACTGCCACGCATTTTTAGTCACGCGCATTGGCCGATCTTCTTTAATTAATTTTTCGTTAATTATTGTAAATATTGTAAAACAGGATCTTCCTTCTTAACTTGAGCCAATCTACCTCAGTAATGGTAGGCCGGGTGACTTTTTCACGCATGCGCCGCGAACGCGGCGTTAACGAAGTATCTAATAGAAGCAAAAGATGTGTCACTGGTCGCCCTTACATAAATTTCTGAAAGAAAATTTTTAAAAAATTTTTACGAGCGACCAACAGCACACTTTCATTTCACTAATCACTTTTCTCGCTGTACTTCAAAACACTATAACATTTACTCGGGACTTCTTTCTGGCATCACCGACCTCAGCTTGCCCGCCAAAACTTTAGCGCCCATAATCCGCTATTTGATACATCGTTGCTTTCCTGTGATTACTACTCGCATGCGCGAAAAAGTCATCCGGCCTACCATCACTGATCTACCTTCACACTTTGGGACTGCGAAAAATTTCCTGACACCTTGTATATTAATTATAATTTACATAAATATATATAAATATGTTCATCAAGGTTTGCAAAAATGATTATATTATCATTGACGTACAAAACGATGCTGAAGGTCTTGAAGCGAGTATACATTGGCATGGAATATTTCAAAATGGGTATCAATATTTTGATGGTGTACCATTTGTAACGCAATGTCCAATTTTGTCATCTAATACCTTCAGGTATATAATAAATATAATTCAATATTAATTTTGTAATATTAATTTTATACAGGGTGACAGGGAATTTTTGACCTTAACGAAATAAGGAGGTAAATTGGCTTAAATTAAAAAGGAAGGTCCTCTATTGTTTTGTGATTGTCGCAATAATTAATGAATAATTAAAGAAAATGGGCCAATGCGCGTGGCTAGAAGCACACGATGGCAAAGGCGGTCTGACTGTAACATAATGGCGGAGGTAGTAAAGCGATGATTGGGGATTGGAGGAGCCTTCGCCACGTGTTTACACACTCACCGCTCCTCCCCTCCCCAATTACCGCTTCGCCGTGCGTTTACTTTTCTTAAATTGAAATCAAATAGTAGAATAATAATAGACTTCTATGTTTTTAATATTTTTTTATGACTTCTTATGATTTATGATTTCTTTGAAAATATTTAAGATAAGGTGAGTTAGCAAAAAACAGATTGTTATACAGTTAACATGAAGTTTTACGAGTTTCTCGTTTTAGAAAGCCAAGAACAATATGATGAATTATTAAATTATTTGTGCGCGAAAAATGTTACATTTGTAACTCTTCTATAGAAAGTGAAATGTATCCTGCATCACAAACATGAGGTTAGGTTATATTTTCTGAAAGTAAAACCTCCTGCAAGGAGGCGGAATACACTGTCCACGCATGTACTTTCTAAGATGAAGCAAAGTTCACTTAATCTTGACCTCCATTAATTCCTTCGCCTACAATATCGTGTAAGACTCGTGGTAAAAAAATCGGGCTAAATATAAGAACCACGGATAAGGGTCGTGGTCGATCAAGTCAAACGTAACCAACACGGGTCAGGCTCGTGGTTAATTGTCGCCGATGTCTTTCTGTCTCAGTTACGTGTTATTTTTGGCCACATTCGCACGTTCAGATATATATTTTTTTTAATATTAGAAGAAATGTGTGCGATTGCACAACTTCGAGCGTTCGGCCGAACCGTTAAATGGCTCGATACTTGACCGACCTTGCTGTTGATTGTGGCACGCGCCGTCGGAACTTAAATGATAGGGCAAGGAGTTAAGAGTAAATTTTGCTTCATCTTAGGAAGTACCTGGGTAGGTACAGTATATTCCGCCTCCCTGCAGGGGGCTCCACTTTCAGAAGATATAATCTAACCCAACCTGTGTTTGTGATGCTATCTTTTGAATAAACAATGACCGCCGATTAAAACCTTTACAACATTACTCAGAGTGATGATTTTGATAACATATGAATTATTGAAATCGGGAGGTGGTCCGTATAAGTAAATAATTACTTTTAAATAATAATAATCAGGAGAACGGTCAAAGCGGAGCTTACTCATCAACGTAATGCTGAAGTGCTGCGCGCCGTTATCATGTTTTAGAGAGAGCTCCACCAGTGATGCGCTGTTGTGGGAATAAAGTCGTGCATACGCACTAGCAAACGCTATGAATTCTCAGTAACGTATGTATTTTGATGAAATATAAGGTATCGTTAGATTCCCCTCAGTGCGAAAAAAAATATTAAATTGCAAGAAGAGAAGAAAATTTTTATCCAAGAAATTAAATACATTAAATATAATAATACACTTTGTATATAACACATTACGCGTTACTGAAAAACGCGAGAAAACTATATGGAGAAGGACCTTTTATGCGCACCTAATGTTGCATCTAAATACATATGTGGTATCAGCTATGATGTAAGCTTACGCATAGAGGCTCTCGCGTGGGAAAAAATCCCACGACAGCACATCACTGCGCTCCACCCGCCGCTTCTTAGTATTCCCCACGCGCCTAATATTAAGTTACAGTGGAACGGCCTTTTTCTAGTTAGCGCATTGGTCGATCTTTTTTAATTAATATCTGGAAATTTTAAAAACTCGTGATTTTTTTGCAAAATAATATAAGATTTTTTAGTTCAGTTTAACGCAATCTATCTCTATTAATTCCTTCCTATGGTTTTTCTTTGTTACACATTATCGGAAACATCTTGCAGTGTTAATTCTGAACAAAATTTAAATTGTAAATTAAAATTACAAAATTTCATCTCTTTTTTAAGGCTTTTTTAAAAATATTCTTTAATATTATTTTTGAAATTTTTTTCTAGATATCAATTTAGGGTAAAAAATTCAGGTACACATTTCTATCATTCACATATATCGGTGCATATGATAGATGGACAGTACGGATCTCTTATCGTACGCGATCCGCCACAATTAAATCCTCATTACGGATCATATGATGAGGATCGTCTGGAACATGTGATTATTATCAGCGACTGGATGCATGAATTATCGTTAGAACGTCTTCCTGGTCGTTATAGAACTAATTCTGGCCAAACTCCGGACAATTTTTTAATCAATGGCAGGGGAAATTGGACGGTAAGAAAAATTTCACTTTGTTAGAAACATGGTAAGATAACAGTTTGAAAATTTGAGAGAATTATAATATACTGTTCAACAAAATCATCGCATAGGTAACTTCACATCAAAATTTCGCACAGATCTTAATACGCAAAGCTTCGCCAAAAATTATCGTATTTCAATAATTTTTTTTTCAAGACTAAAGCCTCTACTTTAAAAAGTTGGCTAGATTTTTAATTTATCTTTCCCCTTTTCACCATATTTTCAAACCAAAGATGTGTTTTATATCCAAAAAATTACATAGTTTATGCATTCTTCGGAATGGAATCAATTATTCTTGTACATTTTTTGACAACTATTGTAAAATATGAACTTTTCTTTATCAATTAAAAAAATGAAGTTAGCACGACTTTTCTTCGCGAAGTAATGGCGTTAAAATGTCCATTTACATTTTAAAATATTTTTGTTCAATAATCGACAACATTTGCATTACTCGGTGCTCACCGAGGAAGTTGCTAGTCAGATTTGGCGTATATGTGTATGTGCATGCGTGTGCGTGCGTGCGTGCGTGTGTGTGTGTGCGCGCGCGCGCGTGCGTGTATGTTAAGGTAGAAATAAAGCACTCCCAGAATATTTACTGATTCCAAACTCCTCAGCAAAATGTCATCAGATTGGCAGCAGATTCGATCAGAATCCCACAGCAGAGTTATAGCCATCTGTGTTCGCATTGAATTTGTGTTCTGGCGACAAAGTCTGTACAACATAACTTGACAACAGGTTTGTTGGCAGAAACCGAACAGAATCCGCGCACTCAATCTGATAGCAAATTTATAGCAGAAATTGAACAAAATTTGCGCTTACTTAGATTAAAGTTATATAAATGCAATAAAATTGATTATTACAGGTGCTGCAAATAAGAATATCAGCGAATTATCAGTTAATTACAATTTTCTTCTATTAGGTATATAACTAAGTACCCGCTGTTTTCTTACTTAAAAAATGCATTTATTTCAATACAACAATAAATTAATATAATAAATTAATCAAAATATAATCCATTGTTTTTACACTCCGATGCACCGTTCCGAATTCCCGGCAACAACATCGCCGGAAGCTGCCGCCCGGTAGAACACCCGCCGGGCAGAGGCAGGGGCGCGATGCGCCCACATTTTTAATACTTATTACAAACCGGGGCCGTTGTAAATTCAAAAACGGCCGAGAATTGCCGAGCGAAGCCGACGCGGCCCGACCGACCGACCGGCGAAAACCCGCGCTCGGCGCAAAATCCGAATCCCTCCGAACGAGCCCGACCGTACCGTACCGCAATTAACCCGTTCGGAAGGGGTAAACCGCCGCGCGCCGACGCGGGTAATTAGCCGGTATAAAAAGGCCGTGTTTCGGCTAAAACACACATTCTCCTGTTCCGCTCTAAGCTGTACGCTCAAGAGAATTTACCAGATACCTGAAAACCGGCACTACCGCCCCGATCAATTAGGTTGAGCGTGCTCAGCCTAAGCCGAGAGTTCTCGTTATCGCGCGGGGTACTGCCTCCATCCGCTCCTCCACATCCCGGCTGGCAAAACCCACGGAAGGTGGAGTTCAGAGCCGCCCCGATCGAGAGTTCTCGAGGCCAGCTGTTTTAAACGCGATTCCAATTTATCGGCACGATATTTCAATTCGCGGGAACCACATATTATTTCGCGAAAATAACGCATCGTTTCTCGGAATCCACCGGCTTTTTCGTTGTACACGGGATTCCCGGAACGACGGGATTCCCCGTGCAAGAAACGCGACAAAAACACCGTCACAACAACGCGAGGTTTTCGACCGATACCGAGCGCATATCCGCACGCGTCAACACAACGTTTTTATACACGCGTATTATACCAGCGAATTATCGAACATACGCGCCACGATTATATCGGCGCATTCTGACTTGCATTCTGCACGCGTAATCAAACAATTTATACACTCGAACACGCTCGCAATTATAATCGCAGCGAGATACATACCCGACTTGTATACACGCCTTAATTCGAATAAATACTTTCTGTTCTTTTACATCACACATTCGCTCACCATTCATTACCCCGAATCCGACGAGTTTATCCGCAATCGAATCTCCGGAAAACGGAACGTTACATTGGCGCCCGAACAGGGACCGTTTGCGTGAGCTTTCGACAGGTGTAAAAGCGAGTTGTACGAATATTTCAGTATGAAGTCGTGGTTGTATGCGCTCCCGAAGGAGCAACTGGCCGTGCTAGCCGCAGGTTACGGCATAGAGAGCACGGGCACTCTCGATGAAATTCGCCGACGCATGCGGGAGTACGCGGACGCGAATCCGGATGATTTTACGACCGATCCTCATGACCATGGGGCACCTTCTTTTGCATACCCCCAGGTCATTGTATCGGCCCCGTCTCCTATCGTCCGCGACGCGCCTGTCGACGGGGCAGCGCCGGCCTTGCCCGATAATCGGGTAATCAACCAGCTGCGGAAGAGCGGTTGTCACTTCGACGGCCGTGACCCCGCCGCGTTCTTAGAACGCCTGGCCGAGCTCCGCGATAACTATCAGATCACAGCGGAGCAAATTCTGCGCGGTTTATCGGAGTTGCTACGGGGGGATGCCCTTTTATGGTATCGTAACCATCGAGGCAGCTGGCTCACGTGGCAGGACTTTGAGGCCGCGTTCCGACTGCAGTTCCTGCCCCATCGTTACGTAGCTTCTTTGCGTCGCGAAATTGAGAATAAGCACCAGGGGGCCCACGAGACGTTCGCACAGTACTCCACGGTGATGATGACGCTGATGCGCCGTTTGGGCGGTTTCTCTCCGTTTGAGCAGCTCGAATACTTGTACAGCCACATGCACCCAGAGTATAAATTTTATATCCGGAGCGCGGATTTCGGTAGCATCGCCGAGCTACAGGCGCGAGCCCGCGAGCACGAGGATTTGGTGAAAGAACGGCAGGAGGCCGCGAAGAGGGAGAAGGCCGAAGTAAAGCCCGTGGTGGCCGCCGCGTATAGCAAAACCGAGTGCTGCTGGCGGTGCAAACAACGTGGGCATACCCGCCGCCAGTGCAAGCGGCCAGCGAAGAAATTATGTTCCCAGTGCGGACGGGACGGGGTGCTCACTTCGCAATGCCATCCACCGGCGGGAAAAGGCAACGGGGCGGGAGGAACACAGGTCGACGCCACTCCCAGCCCCGCATAAGTTTCACGCCGCGACCGCATATACGGGTTACGATCGGGAACCTGACGTGCGACGCCCTGATCGATACCGGATCCGAAACGTCGCTCATCAACGACGAAATCGCCGAGACCCTCCAACAACGGGGTTTCAGGGTCACCTCCGAAGAGAGCCAGATCCAGCTGGCCGATGACCAGGAAGCCACCACCGCGGGGGCAATCACCTTGCCGGTCAAGGTGTCGGGACGAAAGACTACACACACGTTCGCAATTATGCCGCGTCTCTCCGGTGAAGTCTTCATCGGAGTAGACCTCCAGGCCAAGTTGCGTCTGGGCACGCCGGCCCCTCCTCGGCACGTGATTCGAGCACGAGGGCGATGTTGCACCACCGGGGGTTTGGCCGGGAAGACCCCCGCCGAGAGCGAGCGCCTACGAGAATTTTTGCACAACGAGCTCGGAAAATTCGGGGAGGTGAAAGGGCCTACGGACCGGGCACAGCATTCTATCCGATTGAGAGACGATACTCCCATCAAACAACGGTATCGGCCCCGCAATCCGGCGATGCAGGCGATAATCGAGAACGAGGTAGACGAGATGCTGGCCCGAGGGATTATCGAACCCTCACATAGCCCGTGGAGTTTGCCCATCGTCGTCGTAAAAAAGAAAGACGGCCGGCAGCGGTTTTGCATCGATTTCCGACGGGTCAACGAGGTGACCCATAAGGACGCTTACCCGCTGCCGCAAATTACCGCGACTCTAGACAAGTTGAGGGGGGCCCGGTATCTGTCCACCCTGGATTTAAAGGACGGTTATTGGCAGGTGCCGCTGACCCCGGGAAGTCGACCCGTTACCGCTTTCACCATACCGGGTAAAGGGCTCTACCAGTTCACGGTGATGCCATTCGGACTACACTCCGCGCCCGCCACTTTTCAACGACTGTTAGACTCGGTTCTCGGGCCCGAGTTAGAACCGCACGTTTTCGTCTACTTGGACGACATCATCATAATTAGCCGAACATTTGAAAAACATCTCGAGCTGCTCAGGGAGACCTTCCGCCGTCTACGTGACGCGCGCCTCCGCCTGAACCCGGAGAAGTGTCGGTTTTGTGTAGACCGCCTTATATACCTCGGGCACGTCATCGACCGCGAGGGAATTCGCACCGATCCTGAGAAAATTCGCGCCGTGGCCGGTTGGCCAGAACCGCAGACCGTGAAACAGATCCGTCAGTTCGTGGGGATGGCGTCATGGTACCGACGGTTTATTCCGAGTTTTTCTACAATCGCCGCGCCGCTCACCCAGTTAACTAAGAAGCACGCCCGTTGGAGGTGGGGCCCGGAAGAATCCACCGCGTTCGATCGGTTAAAACAAGCGCTGATTTCCGCGCCGGTTCTGGCCTGCCCCGATTTCAACCGCCGTTTCTCTCTGCAGACCGATGCTAGCACGACCGGGCTCGGAGCCGTCTTAACGCAACAGTTTGAAGAAGGCGAGCGCGTGATCGCCTACGCGAGTCGCACTTTGAATTCAGCCGAACGGAATTACAGTGCGACGGAGCTCGAATGCCTAGCCATCGTCTGGGGCATCCGCCGCATGAAGAGTTACCTCGAGGGTTACTCGTTTACCGTCGTAACCGACCATCAGGCCCTACGATGGCTTCAAAAGATGGAGGCGCCAACCGGACGCCTCGGACGCTGGGTGTTCGAGCTCCAGCAGTACGATTTCGACGTACGATACCGTCGCGGGGTATTAAACCGGGTCGCAGACGCACTGTCGCGTCACCCGGCTACCTGCGCTGCCAGACGCCAGGAATGCTCCTGGTACCGCCGCACGCGGGA